AGGGAACTGTACGGGGAAGGTCATGTCTCGCCAACCTGATCGAAGTTTTTGAAGAGGGGGCAAAGATAATTGATGAGGGAAGAGCCGTGGATGTAGTTTACATGGACTTCTGTAAGGCATTTGATACAAGTCCCACACGGCAGATTGGTACAAAAACTAAAATCACATGGGATTCAGGGTGGGCTAGCTAGATGGAAACAAAACTGGCTTGGTCATAGAAGACAGAGGGTAGCGATGGAAGGGTGTTTTTCAGAATGGAAACTGGTAACTCGTGGTGTTCCACAGGGATCATCTTAGGTCCTCCGTTGTTTTTAATATATATCAATGATCTGGACGAAAATGTGGGTGGTCTGATTAGCAAGGTTGCAGACGACATAAAGATTGGTGGAGTTGCTGATAGTGCCAACAATTGTGAAAGGATACAACAGGATATGGATAGATTGGTGACTTGGGCACAGAAATGACAGATGGAGTTTATCCAGACAAATGCGAGGTGATGCATTTTAGAGGATCAAATTTAGGTGTGAATTATACTGTTAATGGCAGAACCCTTCGGAACATTAACAAACAGATGGACCTGGGCGTGCAGGTCCACAGTTCCCTAAAAGTGGCAACATAAGCGGTCAAAGTGATTAAGAAGGCATATGGCATGCTTGCCTTCATCAGCCAGGGCACAGAGTACAAAAGTTGGCAAACCATGTTGCAGCTATATAAAACCCCTGTTGGGCAGCATTTGGAGTATTGTGTGCAGTTTGTCGCCACATTACCAGAAGGACATGGAAGCTTTGGAGACAGTGCCAAGAAGGTTCACCAGGATGTTGCCCGGTTGCGAGGGCACTGACAATGGAGGAAAGATTAAAGAGACTAGGATTGTTTTCACTGGAATAACGGCAACGGAGAGGAAATCTGTAGAGATCTGCAAAATTATGAGGAGTAGATAGGGTGGATAGTCAGAGGCTTTTTCCCTCAGGGTTGAAGTTTCAATTATGAGGGGGCACAAGCTCAAGGTGAGAGGGCAATAATTTAAGGGAGATGTGCGAGGAAAGTTTTCCCATGCAGAATGTGGTAGGAGCCTGAAATGCACTGCCAGAGGTGGTGGTGGAAGCAGGCACATTGGCGACATTTAGGAGGCATCTGGATGGGTACATGAATAGAGAGGGAATAGAGGGATACGGGTTGAATAATGGCAGAAAGTTTTTTAAGTTTAGACGGGGCATGATGATCAGCACAGGCTTGGAGGACTGAAGGGCCTGTTCCTGTGCTGTACTTCTCTTTTGTTCTTGAACTATTTTGATGTCACAGAACAATCCCTACCAAATAAGACAAAAGTAAAATTGCTGGAAATACTCAGCAGGTCAGTCAGCATCTCTAGAGAGTTAATGTCAAAATGACCTCTCATCCAAGTGTCTCCAACACTTCTGCTGCCTCTACCTGTATCATGACCTTACCACTGAACATCAGACCACTATGTCAAGAACTGTCACTGACTTAATTTTACACTCATCCTCCCTTGAACCTCCACAATCTTAAAGCTCATGGTTCTCCAAACCCTAACATCTGCTTCCAGCTCCTTGCTAAAATCCATAAACAAAATGTGGCTGATGTAGTGTTTCACCCAGAATCTGCTTTATTGAGCATACTTATGTCCACTCAATTTTTTTTCCCACATCTTGTTCAATCACTTCCTGCCTAAATCTGCAATTTTTCCAGTATCCTCAGTAGTTTCATTTGAGTAGACAAAAGCAAATATGTGGCACTAAACCAGACCTCATCTAGTTACCTCCACATTAACAGCTTTTATTCTCCAATGCATCCAGAAGTATCACATAGTTCTTTCAGATTCTATTATAAATGTTAATTCAGATTTTGTTTTGTTCTTAGTTCAGCAAAATATATTTGACTGAAGTCATCAAGACATACATAAAGCTGGTGATTAACCAAAAAGGAATGAGAAGAGAAGCATTGTAGAAACATGGGTTCAGATTTAACACAGCTGACTCATGGGAATGTGACAGGCATTTCCATCGTCATTTTGAACAGGTTTCTACCTGCCCTAATTTTAGCCGTATGACTGGGGCCACCTATTGCAGCATCATCTCATTAAAGTTTAAATGTTTAGAATGTGATTACGTAATCTGGATCCTGATCACAGACATAACATTCAATCCCAGTGAAATTCACTGTCATACAGGATTATCGCACGAAGAAGAGAGGCAAATTCTTTTCATATACTTCAAAAAGATTTCTCTGCAGGCCAGGGGGATTCCTATGAGACCTACATGTAAACCACAGGCTTCCCCTTTGAGCTTTTCATCCCCATTGCCTTGCGATCTATCATTGTTTAAAATTCGTCTCAGCTGAGACAATTCAAGTATTCTCTCTGTTTCATCTGAGTTGAAATTTCAAATCTGAGACATGATCTGAAACAGAAATGGGAACAATAAACACAAAAGGTTTTCCAATTACAGAGTCAGGTCAACCTTTTGCCCAATTTCACTCACCTGACCACAGCTTGTAGTGAAGTTGATCAGTCCACCTCCACAGCTTGAAACCAAACTTGGAAGGTGCTGTTCATTTTCTCGTAACCAGACCCACGTTCCCTACAGACATGGGAAAAGAAAAGGAAATTTAAGGATAAGAAAACCTTCATTTACTTTGGATAAGTAAACCGTTTTGGCTTGAATCTCAAATATTTCAAACTACATGGTGTAAAATATACCATTCACCTGTCAAAGAGTAGAGTTTTTGGAATGATATGTCACAGCTTACCACCAAGCCACACACACAAGAGATTTGCTTATGATATACAACTGAAGCAATTTCTCCCCATTCGCCATCATGCTGACTGCACCTTCATTTCTGATCACAATTTAGCTCTTTCTCCTTGGTTGAGGATGGGCGGATACCTGGCCACTTTAGGTTCAGCTATGATTAGAAGTGTTCATATCCAGGCTTATGCATTCAATTATGCCTATTTACTAAGATACCAATTAACTCTTGTAACTCCGCAAAGTTTCTATCTTCAACACAGGTTAGCTAAAAAGGGGGGAAAAACCTGGAGAGGATAGGGAGGGGGAAAAAACAGGAATATAGTGTTATTTTCAGTTGTTATGAATCAAGTATGCAAAAATGTAGCTACAGAAAAGTGTACTTATAATTGCTGGGTGCAAAAATGAATGCAACAACATTCATGAATCATTGCATCTTGAGCAGTGAAATGATCACCAAATAGAAAAAAAAATACCTTCCACATCCAGACATCCCAAAACATTTCAGACAAAAGGAGCTCTTTTGCAGCATTGTCACTGTTGTAACCTGCAAACTGTGCAGTGCAGTGCAGCAAGCTCCCATTAAATTTCCACATTACAATGACTAATGTGTTTGAGCGATGTTAACATAGAGATAAATATTCCTCAGCACAGCTAAGGATAGCACCCCACTTCTTTGAAATAGTACCATTGGATCATTCATACCCATCTGAGGGGCCAGTCAGGATTAGAGTCATTTGACCATACTGCTAGAAGGTCAGAAAAACCAAAAGAACTGTGGATGCTGGAAATCAAACAAAAATAACCAAATTGCTGGGAAAACTGAAGACTGAAAACTGATGTTTAGTTCTGAAAGAGGGTCACTGGACCCAAACCATTTATTGCTCTCTTCCCACAGATGCTACCAGACCTGCTTATTTTTCCAAACAATTTCTGGTTTTGTTTCTGAAAGGGAAATACTGCCTCAGGCGTACATAACTACAGCCTACTGTTGAGATCACACCTTCAAGAGCAAAATTGAATCCAGGATTTTGTGACTTAATTGACTGCACCCTCAGCTAAGTCACTGGTAAAAACAAAAATGTTAACTGGAAATACTTCAAGTGCTCTAGATACCCTTAAAAGTAAATGAAAAATTAAATTCATAGAATTTTACAATACAGAAGACGTTCGACCCATCATGTTCTGTACCAGCTCCCGAAATAGCTACCAGGCTAGTTCCGTTTGCACAAACATTCAGTCTACAAAATGGTATCAGGCAACGCCAAATCAAAGGCAAAATTAGAAGCGTTTAGTTAACTATTCATTGATATACTTCATTTTAACGGAATTTTTTTGAGCAAGCAACCAATGTTCACACTTGACCGGAAAAGGAATGCAAATATGAAGGCTTGATCTTTGGTCTGTGAAAAACAAGCTTTAGTACAATAATTGATATTATTTAATAGAATATATATTGACAAAAACAGAGGTTAGTAAACACCAAGATTAACCATCGTCTCCAATTTGTCACTGACTATTAGATTTAATTTTAACTATTTTTGAAAAAGAAAATTTCCATCATTTGGAAGGTAATACGAAATGTCTAGCATGGGGTGGCACAGTGGCTCAGTAGTTAGCACTGCTGCCTCATAGCACCAGGTACTCAGGTTCGATTCCACCCTCGGGTGACAGACTTGCACGTTCTCCTCTGCGTGGGTTTCCTCCAGATGCTCCGGTTTCCTCCCACAATCCAGAGATGTGCAGGTTAGGTGAATTGGCTATGCTAAATTGCCCATAGTGTTCAGGGATGTGCAGATTATGGGGGATGGGTCTGGGTGGGATGCTGAGAGGGTCAGTATGGACTTGCTGGGCTGAAGTTACCAACCTGTTGAATGGTTTGAACTCCTAAATATTAACAGATACATCACTGTACAAACAAAGTATGTCAATAACAGGTTACAGAAAGCAACACTCACTTTTCAAACAATTAATCCAGATTTACATTTTTTGTAATAACATTACAATGAGGATTTTCATAAACTGAATACTGTTGTGATGACTCACCAAAGTCATTAGCAAAATACAGGCCAAAATACCAGTCTATTGAGCAGTGTCATATATACTTAAAAACCTATTCCTGCAAACTTCAGGCGAAGTTCATTCCAAACAATTGGAGTGACTTCAATGTAACAACACCTGTGACGTAAAATGTGATTTATCAAATAATAGAGGGTTCTGACTGAGCTACCAAAGGACTAATGCTATTTCTAAGTTATGCAGCTGGGTGTCAGCCCAAATGTTCGCATACATGCCACACAGAAGACGGACCTGTTAAAATTTTACATAAAAATTTTAAGAACCCATCTGGTTCAAAATGTGAGCTTGGTGAGCATCCTACTAGCAAACTAAGCAACAAACGAGGTACAGCAGCAACTGCTTAAAAACTGTGGAGACCAGGATAAGATCAAATTTTTCTTTCCTACTGGCTGTGTAGCAAAGACAGGCAAGCTCCCACGGAAGTGGCTATTTTGCAGAGGGGCTGTGAGGGCAAAATGTTGCTGCTGAGGTCAGACAGCAGGCTTTTGTAAGCATCAGGCTTCACTGAGGAAGGCAAGCAGCATTAAGTTACGGCAAAGTAGTGTCTTTTGTTTTGATCCAAGAGTTACTAAAGTAGAAGAAATGGCAGTCAGTGGACTGATATGCTCTTCCTGTGAGATAGTAGGAACTGCCGATGCTGAAGTCAGAGATAACACAGTGTGGAGCTGGAGGAGCACAGCAGGCCAGGCAGCAGAGGAGCAGGAAAGTTGACGTTTCGAGTCGGGACCCTTCTTCAGAAAACACTTATCTCTGCTCCTTCTGGGAGATGTGGGAGACCAGAAGCCAAACATCTCTGATAATTTTTGCAGGAAATGTGTCTACCTGCAGCTCCTCTCAGGCTACATGGATTAGTTAGAGGGGCAGCTGGACTCACTGAGGAGCATACAGGAGGCAAAGGTTTTATAGTTAGGAGTTTCAGGAATGTGGTCACAGTAAAGGTTCAGCCAGATAGATGGGTGACCACTTGGAGGGGCAGGCAGTGCAGGAGTACCCTGTGGCTACTCCCCCAAAGCAATGTACCATTTTGGATTCTGTTGGGGTTGAGAACTGGCCTCTCGGGGTGGGGAAGCAACAGCCACACCCATATTAGTGGCACAACAATTGGCACTGTTGTAGAGCAGGGAAGGGGAGCGATAGCATCATAGTCATACAGCACGGAAACAGCCCTTCAGCCCAACTTGTCCATGCCAAACAGGTTTCCTAAACTGAACTAGTCCCATTTACCTGTTTTTGGCCTTTCTTATCTATGTACCTGTCCAAATGTCTTAAATATTGTAACTGTACTTGCCTCTATCACTTCCTCTGGCAGCTCATTCAATATACGCACCACTCTCTGCGTGAAAAAGAATTCCCTCTCAGGTCCCATTTAAATCTTTTGCCTCTCACATTAAACCTATGCCTTCTAGTTTTGGACTCCCATACCTTGGGGAAAAGATCTTGGCCATTCACTTTATCTATGCCCCTCGTAATTTTATAAACGTCCATAAAAGGGTCACCCCTCAGCCTCTTACGCTCCAGGGAAAGAAGTCCCAGCCTATCCAACCTCTCTTTGTAACTAAAACCTTCCAGTCTCAGGAACATCCTTTTTTTCCACCCTTTCTAGTTTAATAACATCTTTCCAATAGCAGATGGACCAAAATTGTAGTCCGTACACCAAATTTTAACATCCCAACTCCTATAGCCAATACTTTGTCAGAGGCAAGCATACCAAAAGCCTTCTTCACCACTCCATCAACCCGTGACACCACTTTCAAGGAAGTGTTTACCTGCACCTCTAGGTCTCTCTGTTAATGGTCCTACCAATAACTGTACAAGTCCTGCATTGGTTTGCCTCACCAAAATGCAACACCTTGCATTTATCTACATTAAACTCCATCCACGATTCCTCAGACCACTAGCCCACTTATCAAGATCCTTCTTCGCTGTCCACTACACCACCAATTTTGGTGTCATCTGCAAAATTACTAACCATGCCCCTTCTATTCTCATCCAAATCATTTATGTAAATGACGACCAACAGTGGACTCTGCACTGATCCTTGCAGCAATGCTGGTCATAGGCCTCCAGTCTCAACAACAACTCTTCACTGCCACCCTGTCTCCTACCATCAAGCCAATTTTGTATCCAACTGGCTAGCTCTCCCTGGATCCCAAGTGATCTAGCCTTATTTCTAGCTCCAATTTTTGGAGCAGCAGCAGCGGTGAGGACGAGGACCAGGGGGCTGACAGGAGGTAAGTTCTTCATTTCGGCAGCGGAGCTGAGTGGGAGCGGTCGAATTGCGCTCCGGGTAGGTGAGTAAACTGATATATTTGGGCAGTGGCTGAACCAGAGGCATTACACGTGTAGTGTCTCCCACCCGCCCTCCTCCTCGGACCAAATAAAAAAGACTCTGTGGTGTGTTGATAAGGTAAGTGTTTTTCTTTTTCTTTTTTTTTTAAAATCGTGTGCTGGTAAGTAGAGTGATTTGGTAAAGTTTTTTTCATTTCATTTATCTAGTATTTGATATTATAGCAGGATGAAGTTAAGCTTAAGAGTAAAAAAACGGCAGGAGATCCCAGACCCGTGTTATGCTCCTCTTGCTCAATGTGGGAGCTCAGGGACACAGCTGATGTCCCTGACTCCTACACTTGCAGGAAGTGAGTCCAGCTGCAGCTCTTGTTAGACCGCATGACGGCTCTGGAGCTGCGGACGGACTCACTTTGGAGCATCCGCGATGCTGAGGAAGTCGTGGATAGCACGTTCAGCATATTGGT